ATTAAATGGCTTTTCTTTATGTATGGAAATAAAGGGTAGAATTTATACAATTGGCTCAGGACTACAAACCTCTGAATCTGGGACAAGGATTTCCAGACTTCGCCGCCCCGAGTCATGTCCGCAAAGCTCTCAGCGACGCCACACTTAGCGACGATTTTTTACTCAATCAATACACGCGTGGATTTGTGAGACACTATTGATTACTATCAATTAATTAAACAAATATTTCACACATAACTCACTCATAAACATTACATACAATATCTGTCCCAAACCGCACCACTTATAGGGACACATGAGACTAGTGAACGCTTTAAGCAAACTCTACTCCAAACTCATTAATCGCGATATAAGCGCACAAAAAGAGATTTTGGTAACCGTCGGGGCCTATGAGGCGCTGTTCTGTGCATTCATGGGTCTCGTCAATCCCGGCGATGAAGTGATCATAATTGAGCCCTTCTATGACTGTTACGAACCGATGACAGTGATGGCGGGCGGAAAACCTATGTTCGTGCCGTTGCGGCCAAAGAAGGTGGTCGACCGACCCCTCAGTAGCGCTGATTGGGTATTAGATCCCGAGGAACTTGAGTCCAAATTTAGCTCCAAAACTAAGCTTATTATTGTCAACACTCCCAACAATCCGTTAGGAAAGGTGTGTAGAGAGCTCTTGAAAGATATGGTGTAAATATACTTTCTAACTATTTATATATTACTCGACAGCTCTTTTCGCGAGAAGAGCTTCAAATGATTGCAAATTTGTGCAAAAAATACGATACAATTGCAGTCATGGATGAAGTCTATGAATGGATTGCCTATAAAGGAGGCGAACACATTCGGATGGGTAACCAATTTATTGACCATTTGTTACTCATATAATTACAATTAATACTATCATTGCATCCATAGCTTCATTCCCTGATATGTGGGACCGAACCATAACTATAGGTTAAAAATTGTTTTTTTACAAGAATTTAGTAATTATAATATTATGAATTATTAAAACCCAATTATGATGTATAGGAAGTGTTGGAAAAACCTTTAACCTGACGGGTTGGAAGTTGGGCTGGGCTTATGGTCAGTCATATTTGATTTGTAACTACAGTACTTTTTTATAATACTGATCAATGTTGCCATACATTGTCTTATAGGACCCGAAAATCTGTTACAACCGCTACGACTATTGCATCAAAACACTGTCTACACGTGTGCGACACCACTGCAAGAGGCGGTGGCCGTCGGTCTCGAGACTGAGATCCAACGATTGGGAACCGATGAGTCGTTTTGGAAAGAATTGCCCGAAATGTTGGAACCAAAACGAGACCGAATGGCCTCATTCTTGGCCTCCGTGTCCATGAATCCGACGGTTCCCGAAGGCGGGTATTTCATGATCGCCGACTTCTCACAACTGGCCGACAAACTCGACCTCTCGTCTGAGACGGGAACTAAAGACTATAAGTTTGCGAAATGGCTCTCAAAAAACAAAGTATGTTTTGAGAACAAATACAACACATTTGGTGTCTTTTCAATTAGTTTTTTTTGTAGTTTTTCTTTATTACTATTGAAATGCAATTTCTCATTGAATTTATCGATTGAATTACTTATAACTTATGTATTTATGCAGAAACTTCAGGGCATACCTACGAGTGCTTTCTACTCAAAACAACACAAACATTTGGCTGAGAATCTGATCCGGTATTGAAATGTTTTTCTAATTTATATGATTAAAAAAATTATAAAACACATTGAATTGCATTAGAGTTTAATTTATTTAATGCTTTTGTGTTTTTTCTTTTTTATTTCATATTTAGGTTTTGTTTTCTTAAAAAAGACGAGACTTTAGAAAAAGCCGAACAAATTATTAACGATTTGAAGCGAAACTTATAGAGTGTGCGAAACATTACTATAGATATGATATAAGGAAATGGTTTACACCTTAAAAGAGAAATCTTATTAAATGCAAAAAATAATAATTTTCTTTTTCCTTCTTCTTGTTGTTGTTATTATTCTTTAAAGGGATTCAAACGCCGATCAGCCCATCATTTTGCCTCAATTTTACTGTTAAAACACAAATTGTGTATTACTTTCATATTTGGTATTTTATAACCAAAGGCTTTGGGTTTATATAAATTTTCCATATGAATAAATTATAGACAGTTTTTGTCTGTTCGCCAAAAAACCACTCATTTTTTTGTTGTTTTGTTTCTTGTTTTTCATTATTACTTCTATTACTTCTGTGTTTAACGAGTAAACGAAATCTCCGAAACTTTTATGATATTATCTGAAAGTTTGTTCAATAATATGAATAATTATTATTAGAATTTAATTATTTTAAAGCGAATTATTTTTAAAGAATTTTACGATTGGGTTTAGTCTTTGAATTACAAATAGTCTTTATATCCTATTTTAAGAGTTATTTAAGTAAAATATTTTGAAGGCTCTCTCTCTCTCCTGTTTTTGTTTGTAATTATTAATTGATTTATTGATTTAATCAAAACCTAAATTCTAGAAATCCGTATACAATAAATATATACTATAAATACATTTCAAGTTAAATGAGTGAACAATCAAAGAAAGGTATGAATGGTTTGCCAATAAATGGGCACTTTTTACACTACAATTAATATAACAAACTATTAAATAAGTTGTAATACAGTACTAAAAAATTGGGTTATATTTTGGGTGATCACTGATACACACCTATAGGCTATATATTTTAGGAAAAAGTAATGTCATATAAAATTTAAGTTATAATACTGTATAACTGTTATGTTGTGTATAAAAATGATATGTATAACGAAATGGCAAAACCATTCGGGTGTCACCGGAACCGATATGAAAGATACAGAATAAATATAAAATATATTTTAAAATTTATTCTCATATCAATCCGGGACTCAATTTTCTAGCTTTAATGGCTTTTTATTTTACTTGAAGCCCAGTTCCTCCCTATTTTTACCTCTCTCTCTCTCTCTCTCTCTCCACGTTTTCACAGTAGGAATGTCTCTTAACAATCAATTAAGACTTGATTTATATAAATAATTCATTAATTTAAGTGTCGATTGATTTTTTGTGAATATTTTCTCTATTCGTATAATTTGTGTATTAATTATAATTTGTTGCACAAAATTGAGAGCCAAAAACTTTTTGTTTTAACTTAAAAATTTTAAGTATAAAATGCATTAGAAAAATGAGATAACGAACTCATTATGAAATTGTGTCGCTTTTTAAATATGGGTTTAAAGTGAAAATATATACTGTATTTACAGTTATTTGTAAAAAGTGAAAATTTGCATAAAATGATCAAAATTATTGGTTTTGCAGTCACTATATTTATCCTTATTTTAAGTTTGTTTTGTTTGTTGTTTTCACTCAAATATCACTTTTAAATAAATTTTACGTTTTATAAAAAGCATTTCTATATTGAAAGCATACGAAATATAGATTTTGTTTCCAATTGAAAAACCAAATCGGAAATAAAATTCAATAATAAAAATTTAATGTACTTTTCTGATTGATTGATGACAAAAATGTCAAACTTCTTAAAGCAAATGGCATTTAAGATTAAACACAATATTGTTTTAAGCTATTAATATCAGAGACAATGATTTGTTGTCCAAATTATTGGGAGAGAGAGAGAGGGCTAATGACCT